TTCTGCTTCAAAACTTTTTCTTTATCTATTCTTTTTGCCTTTGTTCTTGCCGTACCTGGAGATTTTGGCATTGAGAAACTTGGTGGTTGCTGGAATATTCCATGCCTTTTGTTAGGAGACGAAGTCCTTTTCATTTTTTTGCTCCACTGTTCCGTAGAACCAGGGTATTGATCTATGTCTTCGTCCGATATATCTTCTCTTTTTCGTTTCAGCCTCTTGACAATTTGCTTTTGGACTGTGTCCCCGAATACACGACACCTTGCCTGTATAAAMCCCTTTTGCATGGCTACAAACTCGTCGATCCTAAGGTGGTGTTTTCCCTGGAAGTCATCGTGTTTCATTAACTTCATATAATTTTCTATAGTGCCTTGTGTCGTTACGTCCTTTGTCTTTTTTGTCTTCATCAGTGTTTCGGATGTCTTATAAAGGAGAAAGTTGCTCCATAAGGGCGCAATTGGCAGCATCCGTCTAAGGAATGGAATAAACTCTGGAGAGTAGCACATGTTATAACTGCCATCTTCACCCACCAGTGTTAAATTGCCCTGCAGATATTAGTTAAACTGCRAAGTGTCGTGAAAATAACATGAATAGTCCTCAAGATATGAAGACTTCTCATCCGATTTTCACAACGTCGCGGCAGTTTTTCTATTGAATATATGTATGGCGATTTTAAGAATGAACTTCGTTTTGAGATCGATGAAACAAATTTTTCTGAAGTGGGACGTCACATGAAAACCCTCAATTTTTACAATCCATTACGCTTTGGTTTTCGCTCAGGGACTGATCCAGTGGAGGGGTGGGTGCGCAACCTTGAGTTGAGTGATTTATAAGTAAGTAAGTCCAAATATCTATTAAAGTAGTTAGAAAAGTGATACGGTGGCAAAAAATGATCAATGCGAGAGGGCATATTTATATTACCTTACTAGTTTTCCACAGTCCATCGCCATCTAACTCAGCTTGGTCTTCCATAAGCAATTCAAATGGGTTTGCCGTAGCGATGCCATCAACTGCCTTAAATGGTATTGGTTAAGTTATAGTTGTATAAAGCATATTTCGTGTGGGCGTCAAACGGCCCTACCGGAACAGCGCAAAAAATGATTTTTACGATTTTGTAAAAATAGATGGTAGTTTTTACATCGCTGTTTTTGTCAACCATGGAGAAGATGTAGGGAGTACGTACTACGGTCGGTAAGGTTGTACATTTGAAAACTGTAGTGTAATTTCCTTGTACTCCACAACCATGCGGTAAAAGAAGGAGCGGGACTAGTGACTGAGGCATCCTAAAGTAAATACACCTATTGCAAAAAAGGTTGTCATAGGCGAAAGTTCATTCCAAGAAGGAAACCAATCATCGGAAGGTGTTTAAACACGAATAACAATTGGTTTATCAAATAGTTATTGCGATTACAAGCAGCCCTGAGTATTCAAACAGTAACCTCCGTGTTCTTGATAATGACGAGAATAATAATGTTAAACACCTGGATTATTCACGATTAGAAGTACACCCTTAATTCCTTTCCTTATTCGAATTTTTTTGTTTCAAGGTCGCTAAGAGATAATATGATTGTGTGATGGGTCTAGGTTTTGAAACATGCATTTGACCTGGTACTCTCGACTATCGACTCTCAACTCTCGACCAAAACCCAGACTCTTGTGTGATCTGATGATATAGATAATACATGCATCGTGGGTGATCGGAGCGTGGTTGGTAAAGGGAGATTCAATAACGCATGCAATATTATAGGAATTGCAAGTTGGCGTTAATAGACAACATTTACTATCTTYTTTTCTTTTTCTTTTTGATTTTATTGTTTATGCAAGTTCGCCTGGTTCMCCTYCAAAGGAAACTTMCCTAAATTTTGTATCAAATTGCAATTCTAAATATTGATGGGAAATCAAAGATTCTTATTGCACAATCATATTTTATAACACATACCTTGTTTTTCAGGGAAACGTTAGTAACACTACTTTTGAGGCGTAGATTTTCGGCATAGCTTTTAGCGCCACCKATATCTTTTTTCCACGCATTATACACGGCTTTGATTTGTCGGCTTGAAGGTTTGGCACTGAAGTATTCAGTTGCCGAACGGATTATAAATCCTTCTTTCCTTGTGACTGAAGGCTTTTCGTTCTCTGAATAGAACCAAGCAAATGTTGTGCCAAGCTTTAAATAGTCAATACTGTGACTTTTAAGATGACGGGTTGCCTATAAAAGCATTTCAGGGTTCATAATTAGAGGCGTAATTACTATAATCATGTATAATTTGAATTTAAATCAACTGAAAATCAAATAATTACCTTGAAGTACTTTTTGTCACCAAATTTCCTCATTGTAACAATACGATTCTTTAAATTCAGTAAAAATCAATAAGCTGGAAATCGCTACCACACTGCTAGCAGAAAGTAGTAACTCGCTTTTTCTAACACAGGTCTTAATGAGCCAAAGGTCACGGTTGTCATGTGATAAGGTGATAAGTTAAAAGATAACTACGCAGTAGTATCTTATTTGAACTTAAATGTCTTGAATATACTCAAAACAATGTCAGTATTAAAAAAGTAAATAAACTAAAGGAAGAAAAACACCTTAGAATAAACTAAAAAATAAAATTTAAAGTCGAGATTGTTCTGGTAAACAGTTCTTCTTGCACTCCGGCCTCGCTTGCTGTTGATGTTGTTGCGACTAGCGGACAGACAGACCAAAATGTATGCGATCATAAAAAGCTTAAAATCTTCTTGTACTTTGCGTCATTCGCCAAAAAAATGCTTAAAACACTCAAGTAAGCACTGAGGGATAATGTTTATAAAGTTTTTAGTAATCAAAAATGGGTTGGTACGATTTTCGAACTGGCTGCTGAACAGGCTGCTAACTTCAGCCTGGTAAATAAACTTCAGGTAATCTAACAAGAAATGTATAGTCAAAACGACGCTAACATGACGGTGTTGAGTAAACGACGTCACAGCGTAAAACTGCTGTACATAATGACTCGTTGGCCGTGACACAAAGAAATTAATGGCGGACGAAAATAAATCGTAAAATTTTGGCCCTTCCCTTTCGAATATTAGAAAGATATTTCAGTGAGAGGTTCTTAATGTGTTCAAGATTATTTCAGCAAAGTTCCAGCTCGAATGAAAGAGTTTTAATTTTGGAACRATTTTCGTCCAAGTGGCCCTTTAAAAATGAATGCGTTTCTCTTTGCGTTTGAAACTTTGAACGAGTTTCTTTATTTTTATATTTTTCTAGACACGCCAATGAAGTGCTTAGAAATGAGACTTCCATGTTTGAAAAGTTTCTTAAAAGAGTCGATCCTAAAGACTTGGGGATGCAGTCATCAGGTAATTTCATTATATCCAACATACAGCTGTATGGAATTATTACTTATTGAAGAAACGAACTTACTAACAAATTGCGACAAATGGGATATATGTCGTCTTGATCTATATATTTTAGAATTTCTACACATCCCAACTCCGGCCTTGCTTAAATTTCTGATTTAATGAAGGTTTATTTACATTATATAATGGCAGGTTTAAAACGTTTTTCTCTGTTCTCACTTCACTAGCCCCAACTACTGTACAACCTACTATAGAAACACCACACAGAGGACTGAAAAAGAGATCAAGATCGAGGGGGCCATCGCTTGATAGGTAAATAATACAATAATAAGCTGAGGATAACAACAGGGACTGCAAATATGATAATAATAATAAATCTGTAATAATAATAATAATAATCCTGTCATATATATCACAGTATTTTTTTCCAGTTATTATATTTCCAGCTTAATAAATGGTGAAACTAATAGATAAATAAATAGTGGGGTGGGGGAAGTTTAGCCACCCTACTTTTTGCTACTACCCACTAAATTTTTACAATGCTTCAAGCCAAAAACCCTGTCAATAGCTAGAGAATGATGTTTTCACATTAAGATATTTTCAGCCCATGTTCATTCCCTAGAGTATCATTTCTTTGTTTAACAGTTGTGCATGAGGAAAAACATACTTTCAGGGGAATAATAATAATAATAATATTTTACAACCACCACTCCCCAAACAGGGCTCTTCCGTGAGGTTCCCTCCACACGCACTACCACTACGTTCTATATTTACAACATACAACACTCAACTCACATGTTGATTTTTATGGAGGGAGGAAACCGGAGAACCCAGAGAAAACCCTCGTAGCATAGGAGAGAACAACACATCAAACAAACTAGATTCACATGTGGTGACCGCAGGCCTCGAACCAGCGACCCGACACGTTGGACTCACAGCGGTGAAAGACGACGCGTTAGCTGCAAACGCCACCCATACTACCCCAATGATGGAATGATGAAATGACACGTGGTCTGGAATTGAAAATATCATTATACCCACTCAAGCTAGAGGTTTATATTTCTTGATTTATCTAAACATGATCTCATAACACTATGGTATTGTCTATATGCAGGCATTTAAAGTTGAGTGCTGAACAAAAATGTGATATTGCACAGAGAGAGCTTGAAGAACTGCGAGACGAGATCCAGAAACTTGGAGATGAGTCAGAAAAAATTCTAGATAACTATAAAGTAAGTGAAATAAAATCCATTCAATGTTCAGTGCGTATCCATTTAATTATGGATGCATGAGTAGACTAGTAGTGTATGAGATACACGATTGCAAGGTCTGACTGCCATTCTGGCTTTGATGTACAGGCACTGTTTCATTTCAAGATGGTGCAGGAAGCTATGAAGGGGACAATTATAGAGAAAGTTATGAATTAACGTCATGATAAATTTGTTTGTTAATAAGTAGAGGTTATTTATCTATTATTAATCTATTAGGCAATAATGGAAGAAGGAGAAATCAGAACTGCAGAAATCAAGAAGACATCCTATGAGTTTGAAAGAGATATAGTTAAAGGAGCTATCAATCAAGTGAGTTTTGAAAGTTTAATATCAAATGCATGCCCATATATAAAGGACATTTATGATGAAAATCAAGATTTATTATGTTACAATACAATACAATACAATTTTATTTGGCACCTTATACTAATAGTACATGAGTGTTTGATTCCAAATATATTATAGGTATATATATATACTATGTATTAGGTAATTTTCTTAATTCATTTTCACGTATCAGCATACATTGATGAATGTATGCTGATATGGCTCTTCGTAGAGACGCTGATTTTGAATTGATTAAGAACATAAAACGACTGTCAGCGCTCATATTGTTGAAATTAATGCTGGTGTTTTTTTCTATGAACTCTCTTAAGTCGTTTCTATGAGAGTCATATAGTGGACACCACTATGTTATGTTATGTTACGTGCATTTACAAATTTGGTTGTAACTATTTCCATATTCTTTTCATCTTATTCAGAGAACCAACAAGGTGATAGCTGAGAGGGTGACAAGATACTTTGAGGATAAACTTAGATCTCGAGTAAGTGTCTCTCTCCCCGGGGGGGGGGGGGGGGGCCCCCTCTTTTTGTTCGGGTGGTAGGGGTGATCGGCGGTCGATCTTTAAAATGGCCCCTAAAAGGTACGCATAAATAAAAAAGGCTCTTAAAACCAACCTGGTTTCAAACCCTAAAAGGTACAGCTTTATTTCAGTGATTTACTATTAACCCACGGCTATCAACGCCGGTTTAACAATTGACAGGACAGCGTATAATAAGATTATAACGATGATCATATTAAAGAAACAGTAAACAGCGGCATAGCATGGATAACATGCATAATAAATGACCCCAAAAGGTACGGAGTTATGTTACGTAATTGACTTTTGAGCCGGAACCCCTAAAAGGTTCACACAGGGAACATTTTCAACCCTAAAAGGAGCGCCGATCACCCCTACCACCTGAACAAAGGGAGTACCCCCCAGGGTGTCTTTACCAGTGAAAACAGTGCAGGTTAATGGGCAATAGGCCACTGTTAATTAAATAAGATTTAAGATAATAATTTCTAAGATTACATAAAGGTACATGGGAACCTTGAAAAGGTACAAATATTTGATGGATGCTAGTCTGTTGCCATTAACCTGTTTCAACTTTTTTTCAAACAACAGCAGTAATCTTGTCTTGAGAATAAAGATAAATTTTAAGGAAAATGTAGCAAAAAATATTAATTCTAGTCAATATTATGTTCAGGACACCTTGATAGAGAAGCTAAGACTGAAAAATTCCACTTTAAAAGTCCAAAAAAGAAAACTACACATGCAACTAAAACAGGTAACAAATCCTTCTCTGGTGACATTCTCAGATCCTTCACACCCCTTGAATATTCTGATCGTGAAGTTCTAAAAAAATAATCCATATCCCCCTCACAGAGTAATCTTTTAAAGACCCCCAACCCCTGAAATTCCAAATTTCTTCCTTCAAATTATTTAATTTTGTTCTTTCTCTGACCCCCCTATCCCTCGGAAATACCAAATTCCTCTATGGGGGGTATGGATAATTTCTGGAACCACACATTAAGTTCATGATATGGATGTTTTCTGCAACTATAAATAATTCTTTTTAAACCATCCCCACCCTCTGAAAACTCCAATTTCTCTATAAAAGGAGGTACAGGTATGGCTATTTTCAGGAAGTACAAAATATCCCCTCCTAATAATATATAAATATAAATAGACCCTTTCCACCCCTTGGAAATTCCAACCCCCCCCCCTCCTTCACAAGGAAGCAATGGGTATCTTCTGGAAGAAACAATATGCTCTACTCAATCCTCCCTTAGCCCTTCAAATGTGTACAATTCTCCCTTCGCAGGAAGGTATTGGTATCTTCTGGAACTTTCAACAACAGCTAAATTTTTTGTCATTTCTTTAGAAAGAGGAAATGGGAGAAGTGTTGCATGAAGTAGATTTTAATCAGCTGAAGATTGAAAACCAGCAGTACTTAGAGAAGATTGACGAGAAGAACCAAGACCTCCTGAGACTAAAACTAATGACTGGTAATGTGCAACAAATACTAAACACATACAAGGTAAGGATTTTATCGTAGATGTAAGTGAAGATTTTATGTTCATGATCATCGGCATGCTACACTCTAATAGTATGGAATTGACAACATTCAGTAAACCAGTCAGGCAATGCTCATTAACATGACACATGTATAAGTCATACCACATGTATACGTCAAACAGGACTGCATGACCTATGATAACTAGAGATCTTTCCCTCCCAAGCCCTAAAAAGATAATAATAACGTTCAGCACAAAAATGCATACTTTCTAAATCAGTTGTTGAAGACTGCCCCACAGTCAAACTTATATAGCTGTAATTAGTTTGGTACATGAGCGAAGCAGCTCCTAAAATGAGCTTGGCCAGCTGTCTGAGTTGCAGTTATTCTTAGTATTGCATTAATCTTAAACTTAGGCATGCTTGGATTTTTCTAATAATGTATATTTATTTTGATCAACAGAAAAAACTTCACACCCTGACAATGGAATCTGACAGGTTAAAAACAGAGATACTGCAAAGAAATGAATTACTCTATAAAATTGATGCCGAAAATCATTTGGTTGATAAGGTATGACTAAAGAAAGAGAACAACATTATCATAAGTATTTCCTATTTATAGTAGGAAGGATTGAATTTGAAAAAAAAAGCTAGAATTCTTAGGCAACTTGTGTGCCTCTCATTCTCTTTTTTCTTCCTTCCTTTCTTTCTTTCTTTCTTCCTTCCTTTCTTTCT